AAAAAGATTCAGAGCTGAATACTTAAGACAACTTAAAAATTCTAAGAAAGCCAGTAAAATCAAAGAACAAGTGAAATTAGGAGAAATAGTTTTGGTTGGGAATAAAAACAGCAAATGAATTGATTGGCAGCTACGAAGAATAATTAAGCTGTATCCAGGGAAGGATGGACATGTTCGTGTTGTTCAATAAAAACAAGGAACGGTGACATAATAAGGCCCGTGCAGAATATTTATCCTTTAGAAATGGGTGACCAAGCAAATGAAATGATGGTTTTGCAGTCTATTCCGGATGGAAGAGTCAAAGCAGATCTGAAATCTTCACCAGTTATTTCCAGGAGTGGGCGAATAATACATAAGCCAAAGAGACTTGTTATGTGATGTTGAGCATAATTCCATCGTACTCAAGGCGGGGAGATTGTTATGAAATCACGAGCTGTTAGACAGAGGGCGCTGACTAACAGCGCTCAAGCAATGCAGATGTTTTTGAGATAAAAATAAATAGTTGAAAACTGATTAACGGAAAAATGGTCCCATACAGAACTGTAACAAAATTATTGGTGATGTATATATTTTGTAAATAGACTGTAATAAAGTTTGTTCTAATAGCTTAACATTATTGGATTTGTGAAGATCTACCTGGCAGTCAGACTGAACGTAAGTAAATTCGATTTATTAATTTGATATTTTGTATTTTTACATAACATAACAGTATTTATGTTACTAGCAAAGTTTGAAATCTAGCATTCTATGGAATGCCTATGCACTTTTATAATGTATGAAATGATTAATATTTCATATATTTCTTAGGCATTCTATACAATGCCAAATGACATAACAGAAAAGTATGAAATACATCCCTGATTTGTTTCGAATTTCCAGGTGTTAAGGCACAGGACTTTTAATACTCGCCTCAGGCCCAGCTTTTGCCATTTGCATTTTACACTTTGTTTGTAGTCTCAAAATATATTATATTCATATGTGAATTTATTTAACAAAAAATTAGGCCTACATTATGCTGCATGAAAACAGAAGAGCATGATGTGATGTTAAAGAGAGAAAATCATTGTCAATAGACATGCAACAATTCTATGATGAACCATCTAAAGTGAGAGTTAATGCTGCAAAAGACAGTGTGTTCTTAATTGAAACTATTTCCCAGAAATTAATAAATATATAAGTAGGTAATAAATGAAATAAAGTAGGTTCATATTTTATTTTATTTTCTTAAATAAGAAAGGCATAAGCTTTGCTCAGTATAACTTTAATTTTCCTTTACATATTTTGAATAAAAGATTTTTTATGGCCTTCTTTTATTATTTTTTCTAAATAACATTTGTATATCCACATAATGTACTTTTTTTTAAATAAAAGCATTATCGTGACCTTGTTTTCATACTTTACCTAAATAATATTTGCCATGCTACAGAATGCCATACAATGCCCAGTGAAAGTCAAATAATTCATATAACATATTTAAATAACTCTTGTATTTCATATACGGCAGGTAACATACATATGGGCACTTATGCATATATTTTAATGCATAATTTTTTTTATTTATTTTTAATTCGAAAATATTTAATCAATTATTCTCTTCTCAATGTATTCACACTCAAATTTATGCCATAACACTTTGAGGTCCAGCAGAGTGTAAGAGCATTATTTCTATGATTTCTTTCAAATGAACAAATTTAGGTAGATTTTATGACTGATATTTTATGCATTAGTACAACCATTTTTATCAAGTTTTGATAAACTATTATGGAAGAAAAAGAATGATGATTTATAGTTGCAAAGAACTATTTATTACTTGCATATTTTACATTTTAATTGCATATTAATCCCAGAAGTCTATCAATGAACCTACTTACAAGTGAGTTTTTATTTGTTCTGTTCAAATGCAAATTTCATAATGATCACTTGAAGCAATTAGTCTCTTTGGTAATTTTGAGGAACAATACTGAATTTTTGTAGAAATTTTACCACAGAAATTTCTGCTGTAGACTAATTCACTAACTTTATATTTTAAAACAAAGCCTAAAATTAAAATTTAACAAAAAGATCACAATTTGTTTATAAAGCTGTTGGATCAAATATCTAAATTTGCTTGCCTAACTGTCATCAGCTTTACAGACTACAACATAGATCATCTTGTGAGAATTTTGCCAAAGGCTCAATGTTATGAAGAAAATTAAGAACAAAAGTGCCACCTTAACAGGCGAAAATCAAAAATGAAATTATTAGGTCAGTCCATAAATTTGTGCACATTTTTTGGTAAATTTTTAAAATAATATAAAAAAACACAATTTAACATTTTAATCAATTACAGTCAAAAGCTGTTAATTCGGACACCCATAATCCAGACCTCAAAGCAAACTTTCTGCGCATGCATCACGTTTACGCATGCGCGTAAGACCTTTACTGCTGTGCATATGCGTGTGCGCATGCGCATAATATGTTTACGCATGCGCATAATATGTTTACGCATGCGCATTTAACGTATAACAGACGGTATATGCTAAAATTATTTAATTATCTATTTCAGTTATTGTTGCAGATTGCGTTGTTCCTTAACCTTCGAATTGGATCCGGCTTATTATTTTTTGCTGACTGTTAGAGCAATTTTATAAAAGTAAGTTTGAACTTTTGATTATTCAAATAGAATTTCCAATGCTGGAGCTCCCAAAGGATCTACAAAGTGAAAGTATGCTTCAATGTCCATCAAACAAAAAGTGGAATTGCTACAAAAAATGGATAGAGACATATCCTTTGTTTCTCTTACCATTCCGAAATCTGTTTATCAATTTCACACTGCTCTGTGGTGTGGGGGGGATGCCGCGGCACGCAATGAGTTGGAAGTTGATCTGTCAGCACTATCCTTATCTTCAGGGCAGATGTTTTAATTTTATTTGGCTTATAATTCCTTACTAAATGTAGTATTTCATCTCGATGTACTCCGTCTTTGATATGATTTAAATAAAATTCCTCGTCATTATAATTTGCTTCCGATAGTGAAGAAAGTGACACAGAGGTTATTGAAAACGAAAAAATTTCGATTTACAAATTAGTCGGTATTCTCGACACAGCAATTATAGGACTTAAACAGCGGAACTTTGTAACTGAACAAGAAATTATGTCTGTTTATAGAATTAAAGAGAAAGTATTATCACATAAAACGAAGCAACTTAAACAACTTACATTGAAAGAAATGTTTAATAAACTAAACAAATAAATATTACGCTTTTTCTTTTGTAAATTTTGATACCCTTTAGATCATAATTGTTCTTTATTTCATAAATTATGGTTTCATATTTTTAATTTTATAATTTCTGCATGCCATCTTACCAGATTTAAACTGATGATCTATAATCCGGAAAAATCGATAATCCGGAATCGACGAAGTCGCGACGAGTCCGGATTAACGACTTTTGACTGTATATATTTCCCTCCATTATCTACAATGTCTCGCTATCTTACAGGCAGCTTTTTTATGCCATTGTTGTAGAAAGACTCTGGTTTTGATGCAAAAAACTTGAAAGTTCATTGTGTACATCCTGTTTAGAATTTAATTTTTTGCCAGTAAAAAAAAAATTGTAAGGCACGAAATAAGTGAAAATCACTTGGGGCAATATCTGGGGAGTAAGCAGGATATGGCAAAAGCTCCTAATTAAATTCACTAATTTTTTGCAGCGTTGTTCGAGCCGTATGCAGTCTAGCGTTATCATGATGGTACAACACTTTCTTGATATTCACCAATCGTGGGCATTTTTTTATCAATTCTGAGTTTAGATGGCAAAGTTTTTCACTATAAACTTCTGAATTAATCGTCTGATTTGGTTCTTACAGTTCAAAACGTTCTGAAACGGGGTTCATCATCAATGCTGCTTTTTCCAGCTTAAAATTTTTTAAACCATTTCTGAGCAGTCCTTACACTAATAGTGTGTTCAACATGTACACTATTAATTTTTATCGCTGCAAATCTGGCAGATTCACCCCACAAAAATAAAAAATGTAACACAACGAGTTTGTACTGATTATCTATATTCATCTTTTATGGGTACTAAAATGCATTTGATATTTACAAAAGTTGGTGATGAACAGAATAATATGTTAGTCAAATGATGACAAGTTTCAACAGGTTCAAAATTATATTATTTTTGTAAATGTGTCATAGTGAATTCCACGCATACTCTTAATGTGCCCGAACTTATGGATTGGCTCGATAGTTGAGAGATAGGAAAATAGCCAGGCCTGAACCTGCAATATCTGGGGTGGACGAAAAATTTTTCATCCGAGTGCATTAATGCTGTGGTTGTGGGACTTCTACTGAATGAAAGGAATTTGTCTTCTGAATCTGCAAAACGGATTATAGCTTGAAACTTAGCTGCTAATTTAGTGTTAAGGGTTTTACCCTTCTTGATTTCTTGCGTATTTTCATTAAAGAAATAAAGAAGGTTCTGGTACCTTTGTCATAGGAAAAGACTTGCATGGTTTTTCAGTTGGGATAAGATTTTGCTCACTGCCTCATCAAAGCTCAGCCATTTTTCCTTTTGTTTATCTATACTTTTTTCTCCTCTCTACTTCCCTGGCTCTTCTAAGTCATGGCATAAAAAATTTTTACATTTGATAAAATCCTATAGCTTTCATTATTCTTAAATTTCTGCAGACAATATCCCATTTATTCATTTTGAAAACCCTAAATAATAGAAATAACTTTAAAAACCCCAAATGTTGTTACCCCTTGAGTACTAGAAATGTTTTCCTTAGCAAAATTATAAGATCAGTTTTTTTCAGATATAAAAGAAATGTTTCCGCACTAATGAGTAGAAAATTAAATTCACAGTGCCAAAAATTAGAATATTTTCCAAAAACTGATACAATTTTCATCTACTTTAAATATGAATCTCTGAAGTTCTTTCTGTGTGATGCATTCAAATTCTGCAAAGAAGTGTGTTAACAAACAATTTATATAAAGGGAAAGTACTGATAAAAATACTTACTAGAATCTGAATCAGATATGGCAGCACCATTCTCATGACAAATACTGGCTTTTACAAACTCTAATGTTAGAGGAGATATTGACATGCAGAGCTCAAAAAGCACAACCATGTGGATGGTCCAGCTAAGTCCAGCTTGTTTATACAAGTTAGCAGCAACATCTGTCTGTGCTACTTTCTGTATCAAAAATTTCAAACCTGGTCTCAAATCAAAATTACAAGCAACTTCATATGAATCTTCGAGACAACTGGATAATATCTGTAGCTGACCAGTAGACAATTTTGAAAGAAAGCCTAAAGAAATGAGGAAAATATAACTATCTAATTCTGACTAAAAAAACCAGAAATTAATACCATAAGGTAAAAATATAAAGATTCACAAACAGTCTAACACTATTTATGCTTACAGTAATTCATAAAATTAAGTTATTAAAAATCTTAAAAAAACTATCAAATAATTACACTGTTTTCATTTGTCATAAAATTTTTTGTGTACTTTACATTCTAGGCATAATATGCAGATACACATATTTATTTATCTTTTATAATATATATTATGCATACACATGTACAGTATATATAGAGAGAGAACAGAAATGGAAAATACATAATTAAAAATTACCAAAGTTGCACAAAATGCTGCGTAACTAGTATAAATAATCATTAATTCAATTTATACGTTTATTATGTATATGTGTGCAGGGGTAACAATTTAAAATACATTGAAGGTGCATAATAAAGAATACATTTGCAGTAAAAACAGATTAAATATTCATTTTTATTTTAATAGCCATTTGCAGCAAGAAATAATTTTCTGTCTGATTTTGCTGCTAAAAGGATCTTCTAACAAATGCTCTCTTCAAAATTAACTCTCAAAAAACAAGCAATATGACAGCCAGTTACTTATGGTGGCTTATTAAAACATTAAGTCGTCTAAAAATAAAACATATATTTCAATTTCACATGACTACCAAGTTTTTCTGGATTATGCAACAACATCTGCCTTCGACATATCAAAATTATTACATGCACACACACACTCAAACATAAATATATATATATACAACTATGTTACTTCAAAAATTTGAATTTACAAACATTCCTTATTCGTAAAAAGCAAATTAAAGTTAAAAAATTTATATGAAATTTAATGCAAACAAATAAATGATTAATTATTGTTGCAAACTAATCTACAATATTATTTAAATTCTGACAGCATATGTAAATCAAGTGCAAGTATCAAAATCCATGAACAAATATAAAATTAAAATTCCAAAAATATTTTTTTATAAAAATGCATAAGTGAATGATTGTTGAGCAGGCAGGAGACAGATTTATCAAGGGAAAGTTGCCTCCAAACCTAAAAACCCTTATCACATTACGATATTTGTTGCTGGAACAAAACGTTTGCAGCAACAGTTTTGAGAAACGGCCTTTCGCGAAATAGGGTTACCATCTTCACTTGGTAAACAGGCTGAAAGCCAAACAAGAATCAGTTATCACTCAGATTGGCGAAAGTGATGTTTCCTTTGAAGTGGCGTTTGCTTCTTCCGTGTTGCTTTGTATCGCTCACACTCTTTTCGTTTTAAACTTTATTGTTAGTAATGGAAGATAATAGAAAGGTGATTCCTATCAAGATAATCACTTTGATCTCCACTCTGGCACTTCAATTAACAGATAAACACACTTCTGGTTATAGTAATCAATTACATCAGTAATAGCCAAATTCTGTATACACTAAAAATTGTTTAAAACGTGTGCTGGATAAGTCTATTTATCAGACATTATCTATGTGTATTTTCTGTTGTCTGCATTGCAATGAAAATTTGCTGGCTCACTGGAAAATTTGTGACTTGGTGACCACCTTCTGACCTTGACTAACTTTATGGCTCATAATTACTGTTCTGTTCATTCAAACAAACAAACAGACAAAAAAAAAAAAAAAAAAAAAAAAAAAAAAAAGACCTTTTATGCCAAAAGTCTATATGGCTGATATTTACATCCTCACAGCCAGCAGATACTATTCAGCAAAATGAAGATCAAATAAAACATATGAATACATGAGCAATCAAACATGTGCGAGTTGTTTACTGTCCCATAGAACACTCGGTAATGCACCTAAAACACATTAATTATACCAACTCTAGAAATTAGGTGGTGCAAGGAGGATCCCTATGTTGAAGATTTTTTTAAACTGGCTCGTATACCAGTTACAAATGGGGCAAACCAAGGAAACGTCATGTAGCCAGCCCGTTCGTGGCATTCTAAGCTGAGACAGAACTACCAGTGTTCAACGACGCTTTGGCCATTAGTAGGCCCGTGCACTTAATTGGAAAGTGCAATTCATTATGTAAACAGACATGAAGGTGATAATCAGTTGTGCACTGTTTTAAGTAATCAAATGTTATAAATGTACAGCTGTTACATTTCTTATTATTTATTAGTCAGGTTTTTATTATGTAGATCATACGTATGATATAATTATGAATTAATCCAATAACAAAATGTGTACACTCTTTAGTACTCAAATACTCATCAATTATTTTTCAACTGATTATTACATACCCATAATAATTTGCAAAGAACTGATAACTATAGTTGCTGCCAATTACATAATCGTTATCTGAATTAAAAGCAACTTCAAATAAACTTCTTGGCAATGTTAATTTTTGTATTCATACATACATATATATACACATCTAATAAGTCATATATTTACATACAGATACAGAGATGCGATGGTTTAGAAGTTGTTAATGTATATTTATTAGTATTAATGTAATGAATAAGATTTATATTAATGAATGTATATACAAATGTTTTTCATCATGTATAATAATAAATCCATAAATTTTCAATGTTTCAGTGTAGTATTTACAATAAAAGCATAGTTTCTAATGTATTTATAATCCAAAAAGTATTTCATTAATAACATGAAAATAATAGACAAATTTAATGAGTATTCTCATTATTACATAAGCTATGCTTTTCTTTTTTTATGCATCTTTTATGCTGTTTAAAATGTGTCACTGATTATGCAATTAACAATTTAAAAGATAAGTAATTAGGAGAACAGCCGTGCATATACAAACGGATTTTAAAAAATTATTCAACTTAAATTTAAGAATAAAATTCTATTATAATACAGTGATAATACACGATCAGCACGAAATACGACAAATTTGGCGAACTTTTGGCGACGAACAATTTGTAAACAAATCCGAACTGCAAGAACGTCGTAAAATACTGTCAACTCTGAAATTTCCACGATTATATATTTAATGAATATATACACATTTTAAAAATGACTCAGGCAGTTGTATTACAACAAAACAGCAATAATTAAATCGGCCTCAATTTCCAGCATCCATCACTTCACAGTGAGAGCCATCGCCATATTGAAAGTTACCAGTGATCCTTCAGAAGCAGAACTTTCGTCTGATTGGTTGAACGTTCGAGGAACACGTCTCCAGCCGGAACATTTTCGGACAAATTTTAAAATGTTGCTCGTAGCCGGGACAGATTCCTCCTAGCTAGACGAAACATTTCCCGGAAGCCTGCCGCTTAAAGCCGTGCTACTAGAATCTCATTTCTTGGAATTGTCCCGGGTAAGCACGCGCGTTCATAGAAGTGATAGGGCCTTAACTCTTCAATCATTCAATTCGTGTTTCGTCATCCATGTAGACAAGGGTATAAGTCAAAACCTGCCTGCCGCTTAAAGCCGTGCTACTAGAATCTCGTTTCTTGGAATTGTCCCGGGTAAGCACGCGCGTTCATAGAAGTGATAGGGCCCTAACTCTTCAATCATTCAATTCGTGTTTCGTCATTCATGTAGACAAGGGTATAAGTCAAAACCAAAAGTAATACCAAATGTGGTGAATTACTAAAAAGAAATTTAAACAAGTGGGATTTTGAGAAATTAGCAATTAAAAGACTAGAATTAAAATTAAAAAATTAATAAATAAGAGTAGAAAACCAAATTTTTAGAAAACCAAAGTAATTTAGAAACTCTTGTCTACAGAAACTTCCCTGACACGAATTATGCATATAAATAAAAAGAAACTATTATAAAAAATAATACATACATTACATTTTGTACTTAAATAATACTAAAAAGGCAAGTAAATAGTAAGTTTTAATTTAACTTACCAACTACATTTATTTTTGGGGAGTACAGAAGCATTGCCAAACTAAATGATGTTAAGAGTGTGTTCTGCAAACTTTAAAGGAGGGTGCTAATGCAAGGTTAAGCTCAGTGTAAAGCTGCTATCTGTGATCAATTTAAAAAATCTATTCTGTAAACTTTTAAGTAATGTAAAATGTGTGTTCTGTTGTAAAAATGTGTAAAAAAGATGTAAATTGCAAACTGTAATGTTATGTGGAAAAATGTTGCAAACTATTAAGGATGTAAAATTGATAATGTTTTTAAAAAAGTTTTTGAAAAAAAGTATGAATAAAATTATTTTGAAGTAAAATTTAATTTAGATTTTGAAAAAAAATTTTAAATGTTTGTATTTAAAGAAAGAAATTTATTGTAATTCTAAATTTATTAAAACTGGATTTAAACTGGTTTAATAAAAACTTTACTAATTACTGGCCAAAAGTAAGGAAAATTAGAAAAGTATTAAAGTATTAAATATACATATTTACAAATTAATTTTTACAATAAATATTTACAAGATAATCCCTTAACTCTTCAAAATCCTCTATTACCCTCCAGTTAAGGTTTAAGATAATGTTATCATACCATAAAGAGTCAAATTATAAAGAAAAGTTAATGATTGCCTTATTTAATTTTTTAACTTTAATTTGCTTTTTTCGAATAGAGAATGTTTGTTAAATTCAAATTTATATAAACTATGTTATACAGTCAAAAGTCGTTAATCCAGACACCCATAATCTGGAATGATCTATAATCCGGACCTCAAAGCTATAAACTTTCTGCGCATGCGTCAACGAAAATGCGCGTACGCATGCGCGTTTCATGTACAACGGACGGTATAAGCTAAGCTAAAATTTAAAATTATTTAATTATCTATTTCAGTTAATGTTTTGGTTTGTTTTGGTTTTATTAGATTACGGCAAAGCACTCGAGGGTTATCTGCCTTAAGGGAGCGATGGCTTTGTGGAGGACTTTCTAAGGGAAACTAGCTCGCATACACGTTACACATGGGGAAAACCAGGAAAACGCCCATGCAGCCAGCCCGTTCGCGGGATTCGAACCTCGGACCAAACTACCTGCATTCAGCGACGTTACCGCTCGGCCGCTGGTGGGCTTCAGTTAATGTTGCAGA